TTTGTCGTCTATAAATAAATACGTATTGTCCATTTAGTGATTACTAACGCTCAAAACACTACCATCAGTGATTTGCGTGAAACCTAAAACTTAGACAAACTTCCAACTTATATGAACTTTATCTTCTACCTCCAAACATTATGTTTCATTTACGACACTCTACTTCTCCACTAAACCAAGCTCGAAAATATTGTTTCTTGCATAAACAAAACTTGAAACATCATTTCTTTCATTAACAAATTTCAGAACTCCATTATCTCTTCTCCAACTTGAACGAGAAAAAGAAAATATGGATTCAAGTTAGCAGTGTTAGTTGTTATTGTTCTTTTTTTTGTTATTATTGTTGTTGTTGTTGTTGTTATTATGGTTGTTCTTTTTTTTTTATGTTGTTGTTATTGTTGTTGTTTTTTTTTTGTTGTTGTTCTTGTTGTTGTTCTTCTTGCTCTTCTTATTGATGTTGTTATTGTTGTTATTATTGTTATTCTTCTTGTTTTTGTTGTTCTTGTTGTTTTGATTGTTGTTTTTGTTGTTGTTGTTCTACTACTGCAATTTTTTATTTATTTTATTAAAAGACATGCAACAACGGTTGTTTAATACAACTGTGGTTATATGTAGCGTGTTATCTAGTTTACTACCACGGGCAATAGACCGTATAAATAACCCACTTACAACCACACCCCACCTAATAACGGTTGTTCAACCGTTATTATAGATCTTTCGTAACCGTTGTTATATGAGTATTTTGTAGTAGTGAAACAAGTTACCACAATGTAGACCTTGGTTTGCTGATCATTCCCCCTAACTTATCTAATGTTGATTGCTTGAATTGATCATTTAATTCTTGTATGAATGTTCATGTTCATTTATGCATTACTCTAAAATTCTCCTCACTCCTTTTCAATAAATAAAAATGGAGGATGGAGTTGAGTTCACCTTGATGAGACGGTCAAAATGGCATAGGTCTCATGACCTGAAGTAACTGTTTGCCAGAGCTCTGGTTAGAGCTTACCGAAGAAGATGACCAGAGAGGCTGAGAACAATGACCTGTGCGGTGCCACATTGGAGATTTGCAATGTTTTCATTTGCTGGATTTAAATGTAATCTGATGCTTCGCCTTGCGCGTGTTCCATTGTGTTCCCTCATCTCAGATGCGTTGGATCTGCCACGTCAACTAATGAGGCTTGAGCCAACGCGCCGTGTTTTTTCTCTTTTTATTATTTTTTGATTTTATTTTAAAATTGCATTAAACTTCAAAAATTCATAAAAAATAGCTACATTAATATTTTTCACTCCAATTTTTTTCATAGTTACATAAAAATATTTCTTATTTTTTTAGCATTTTTATGCATCTTTATTTCATCATTTTCTATTTTTCATGATTTTCTTCTTTTTGCATATATTTTAAATAATTTTAAAAAATATTTTTATTCATTTTTAAATTCTAAAAAAAATTGCATATGATCCTTGAGTTGTTTCTGACTTTCTAGATTTTTCTTGGTCATTTGTAATCTTGTTTGATACATCTTTTATATTTTCATGTTTATTTTCCTTTTTTAATTCATTTTTAAAATCATGTTGGTGCATATTATTTAATTTTATTTCATTTTGATCTTGTTTGACCTTTATTGACTTCTGTTTGACTTGAATCTTGGTTGATTTGGTCAAGTTTTATCAAGTTCAATGGATCTTAGGTGTTGATAGGGTGAAAACCCTAACCCACCAAAATGGATGATTGATCTTGATGATTGCTTGATCAATTCTTTGATTCAATTTGTTATTTTGGTTTCCTTGCTGCCTCTTCTTCATCACCCTTTTTTCTTCTTCTTGTGATTGATGAAAATCTTTAACATCATGGAACATTTAAAGTTCTTGATTAAGATAAATCACTCATTTTTTTTCTTTTTGTGCCGTAAGCTTTAGGAGAATGACTTACATGTCATTTCTCTAGCTTGCATCAGCACAAATATTGTTATTGACCGACCTCATATAGTAAGACATTCCTTATATGTTGTGCTACGATTGCTTAACATAACACTAAACTTGTCCCGAATCGGAAAATAAGTCATTTTTGTAAGTGAGATTGTTAGCCTCCTATTCTCCACGGTATTGTGTGAAATAGATTGTATCTTTTGTTACCAAAGAGAGTTAGTGGCATACTTGTTGATTTTATCCAAGTTAGAGCCCTTCTCTTGGTAATGTATAAGACCATATTTTCATGCTTGTGGATGTTTAGTTGAGTGTTCTCTGAAAAATGACAAATTGGTCTTTCTTTTCTAATCACTAACTTACTAATCTTTACTTTAGTTGTCATTTATTTTATACTCTTTACTTATTGCAATTTACATTTATGCTTTTACTTTAGCATTTCATACCATATTATCATCTTTCTTTTCTCTTAGTCCACTTGGACTTGTGTTTATGCTTATACTCTTTTTATTTTGTCCATTTGGACTTTCTTTTCTCTTAAGACATTAATAAATATTAAACCTCTTAAAAAGAAACTTGGTTACTTTCATGGACTTGATGTTACTATCTTATGCATTATTGAGGAGTTATGAACTTATAATTATGACCTTAACCTTGACTTGAAAGTATATCTTAAGACCTATTTGGATTCATCTAATACCTTTGGCTTAAGGATTATTTTGAAGACTCATCTTGGTTATTATGATTTTATCTGATGCTTGGATTATTTTTTGATCATTTGGCTTGCTCAAGGCTCAATCCAAAGGAGAGAATTCTTAATTGACTAATGTCATGGGGCTTGCTAGCTTCTCTTGGTTAGACCTTTCTTTGTTATTAACTTTTATTTGATGCAATAGGATAGTCCCTTCATCTCTTCCCCATTTTTAAATTTTCAAAATCTTATTCTTTCAAACTAGAACCACTTTCATAATAAATCTTTACTTTGTCAAGTGATTTTCAAACTTATTTTCTTTAAAAAATGTTAAGACATCTTAAGCATATTCAAACATTTTCAAAAGACTTAAAAAACATAAACTCATTCAAGTCATTTTGTGCCTTTGTGCACTTTTACTTTTAAACTTTTCATAAAGTTTAGACATGAGTCATTTAAAGTTGAGATGTAATTCTCCTATCTCTATAATATTGATGGTAATTATTTTTCACTTGTGAGAGTTAGTGACATACTTTTTGATTTTTATCTAAGTTGAAGCCCTTCTCCTTGTGATGCAAAGTTCTCATTACTTGTGAGTGATTAGTTGTAGCATTCTCTTTAAAATGACAACTTGTCTTTTCATTTAAAATGAACCAAACAAACCATTTTGTTATTTTTACCACGAACTACGAGATTTTGATCCTCCATTGCACTTTGTGGGTACGTAGGCACGAGGCTCAGGAAGTATTGGCGACACGTGATATTTTGTCATGTCACTCACAAATTTTCTTTCATCGGACTAGCTTATGCTTATGAATACCACATCTAATCGTTATGTTCAAACCGCTATCACTTGACACACATTTTAATATAAATGGACATTTAACTCTTTTACTACAAGTGATTTGAGAGGGTTTCTTGTAGTTTCATTCCCTCTCACGATCTATGATCAATTTGTCTTTCATCCCTCTTTGCCCATTTATTGTATCAGAACAAACAACAACAACAACGAAACCATGTTGTCTCCCAATAATTGTGTCCATGATAACAATTTTGTTCGAGAGGGAAATATATGTCAGTTAAAACATATAATAAATGAATCAATCATAGATAACATAACTCAATTCAAAATTTTAAAAATTCAAATAAAACATGTAAGTAAAATATAAAAAGTCAGTGGTGAAAAACTGAGTAAAATTCGCAGAAAATCATCCACCTTAAACACGTGTAAGGAGAGCATGTTGAACTAAACTACCAAATTTTTAATGGGTGGCAAAAAAATCCGGTATGCCGGATTTTTGAAATTTTCCAATAAGATGAGACCTACCAAATATTTAAAAAAAAATGATAAAAACTCATATATATATATATATATATATATATATATATATATATATATATATATATATATATATATATATATATATATATATATATATATATATATATATATATATATATATATATTGGCCAACCGTATCTCGACCTTGAACTATCAGAGCGTTGTAAATATAAGGCATCTTCCCTGGTGGAAAAACTATATCGAGTACCGGACCGATTATTTGCGTAATACGCCCCAGATTTTTGTTTTCAAGTGCAGAAACCTCAGTATCAGAAGGGGGAGGATTTATTGTCATATTGAAAAATATCCTTTTTTTTTTTGAAAAAAAAAAAAAATTCAAATTAAGAAAAAAATGTTCGAGAACAACGCAAGTGGATTGGTTCATTATTTGAATATTTAATAACAAATGAAATGTATTAATTCATATTTAATAAAATATTTAATAATAAAATATATATATATATATATATATATATATATATATATATATATATATATATATATATATATATATATATATATATATATATATATATATATATATATATTTTAATTCAATAAAAATGCAAACTTTTACTTTTATATCACTAAATAGTCTACCAGATTTTTTAAATAGACTATAAATTTTTTTGACTTTTATCATTTCTTTGTGAGTTTTATTTTTTTCCAACAGTAACTTTTAGATGAGATAAATAATAACAGTTAACTTTGTTATAACTAAAATGTGTGGGTGTGTCAGGACTAAAATAGTGTGCGAGGTGAACTTCTCATACATAATTGGTTAAATAAAATTGGGCCAAACTAAAAGCCCAAATAAGAATAAGAAACATTAAAACAAAACATTCAGCAGCTGCCACAAGCCACACAGCCCTAACACCAAAACCGTTCCTCGTCTTCACAACTTAGCCCTAGCATTGCCGAGGCCTGTTTGTTTTCACTCAAACTTCCGAATAAATTATTATTACGGATTTCGTGAGAGGTATATTCCTATTTCGTTGAAACGGTGCCAAAAATCAAAGTTCCTTCATTATTAGGGTTTTGATGGGTACAGAGAGGAAGAGAAAGGTGAGTTTGTTCGACGTCGTCGACGACGCTGCTGTTAAGATGGTGAAAACCAACGGCGGCTTATTCGGCAACAGCCTCATTAACCATTGGAACGGAAAGCCTTACTCGCAAAGGTACTATGAGATTTTGGAGAAGAGGAAAACACTTCCCGTTTGGCACCAGAAAGATGATTTCTTGCAGGTTTTGAAGGATAACCAGACTTTGATTCTCGTTGGTGAAACTGGCAGTGGGAAAACAACACAGGTTTGTTTTTATATATTCTAACTCTTTTTCAAGGATTTTGATTTTGATGCTATGAGTTATATTTTGTTTTTTAGGTTTAGATTATGGGAAATAAATGATTAATGAATAAACCATCAATTTAGTTCCTTAAGTTGTGGCCAAATCATATGAAATCTGCTCAATTTAATTCCTAAAGTTTATGAAACTATATAAACACTAATTAGAAAGTGCGTAGACACTAATGAGGGCATTTTTTAAAATGAAATTATTAATATGTAGCTATTCATGATACGTGATGATGTATTCAGCTCAATTTGGCTGTTTAAATTGAACTTAATGAAGTAAAAAGCTAATTGGTGGATGGAGACATGAAGTGAATAGTGCTAGATGTGATAGTATTATGGGATAAGATTGGTTATTTAAGTGCATAGGTTGTTAATTTTATTGTTTGTGTGATTTTGGGAGACAGATTCCTCAATTTGTTTTGGAAGCTGTTGATTTAGAGACCCCGGATAAACGCAAGAAGATGATGATTGCATGTACTCAGCCTCGTAGAGTGGCTGCTATGTCTGTTTCCCGTCGTGTGGCTGAAGAGATGGATGTTACTATTGGGGAAGAGGTTGGTTATAGCATCCGATTCGAAGATTGTAGTAGTGCAAGGACAGTTTTGAAGTATGTTTTATTTTCCATTCGACATTATGTTATGTAATTGATTTGAAGCCTGCTGTTATGCTATTTAATATATAATTGTTTTGTCATATTTTTTATTCTCAAATATGATGATTTTTTTGTTTCTTCCGCAGGTATTTAACAGATGGTATGCTTTTGAGAGAGGCAATGACGGATCCACTTTTGGAACGATACAAAGTAATTATTCTTGATGAGGCACATGAAAGGACTTTGGCTACAGATGTATTATTTGGCCTACTTAAGGAAGTTCTTAAAAACAGACCTGACTTGAAGTTGGTTGTTATGAGTGCTACACTTGAAGCTGAAAAGTTTCAGGGGTATTTTTTTGGAGCCCCTCTAATGAAAGTTCCTGGAAGGCTTCACCCAGTTGAAATTTTTTATACTCAAAATCCCGAAAGAGATTACTTGGAGGCTGCTATTAGGACAGTGGTACAGATTCACTTGTGTGAACCTGCTGGAGACATACTTGTTTTTCTTACTGGAGAGGAAGAAATAGAAGATGCATGCCGCAAAATATCAAAAGAAGTTGCAAATATGGGGGATCAGGTGGGCCCTGTGAAAGCGGTGCCATTGTATTCTACTCTTCCGCCAGCAATGCAGCAGAAGATTTTTGATGCAGCTCCTCCTCCAGTTAAAGAGGGAGGCCCTCCTGGAAGGAAGATTGTGGTATCAACAAACATAGCAGAAACTTCCTTGACAATTGATGGTATAGTCTATGTTATTGACCCTGGATTTGCTAAGCAGAAGGTTTATAATCCTCGAGTTCGTGTTGAGTCTTTGTTGGTGTCACCAATATCAAAGGCTAGTGCACATCAGAGATCTGGGCGTGCTGGTAGAACTCAGCCAGGGAAATGCTTTAGACTTTATACTGAGAAAAGTTTCAATGAGGATCTTCAGCCGCAAACCTATCCTGAAATTTTGAGATCTAATCTAGCCAATACAGTTCTTACACTGAAGAAATTGGGTATAGACGATTTAGTGCATTTTGATTTCATGGACCCTCCTGCGCCTGAAACATTAATGCGGGCTTTGGAAGTGTTGAATTACTTGGGTGCATTAGACGATGAGGGTAACTTAACAAAGCTGGGTGAGATTATGAGTGAGTTTCCTTTGGACCCTCAGATGTCAAAGATGCTTGTTGTTAGTCCTGAGTTCAACTGTTCAAATGAGATTCTTTCAATTTCTGCCATGTTGTCAGGTATGCTTCTCCTTTTTCTGTCTTTTCTTATTATTGCTGTGTCTGTCTAGAGTCCCGCCTTAATGTTAAGGGAATATAGTTGAGTTGGGCTTCTTTTGAAATGGAGGCCCAGCATTTGAACATGTGCACGGCCGTGCTGTGCATATGGCAGGGATGTTTCACTGCTTACATGTGTGCTTATTTGCACATGAATGCGGTTTCTGGAGTGTGTCCAGTTAGGTAGTCATCAGCAACTGTGTTCTCTGGGTTCCATGCCCCCGGTTGGCATGTACCATAGGATTCTAAGTAAGTGCTGATGCAGATAGTTGCAGTTTCTCAGTATTCTCTCATGAAGAAAATGGTGTGCTCTCGCGTCTATGCATCTGCTGACCTTCCGTGGACCTCGTCTGTGGTAATCAATTTCTTTCTTTAGTACCCAATTGCTTTATCCGGCCTAGGGAGGCTCAAAAAGCTGCGGATGAAGCGAAAGCTAGGTTTGGACACATTGATGGAGATCATCTCACACTCCTGAATGTATACCACGCCTACAAGCAAAACAGTAAGTGCATAATTCTGCTCACTCTTTTCATTTTATTTTCAATACCTTGCTGCTTGCTTTTTTTTTGATGTTGAAGTTTATTAAATGTATGTGAGTGAATTTTCAGACGAGGATGCATCTTGGTGCTACGACAACTTTGTCAATAACAGGGCACTGAAATCAGCTGATAACGTTCGACAGCAGCTAGTGCGTATCATGGCTCGGTTTAACCTGAAGTTATGCAGCACTGACTTCAATAGTCGCGATTATTACGTCAACATTAGAAAGGCAATGCTAGCAGGATATTTCATGCAGGTGGCTCATCTTGAACGGACAGGTCACTACTTGACAGTGAAAGACAATCAGGTTTGCTAAAATTATTTTTTATTCGTTCTTCATTTGTATCACCAAAATAGCTATTGTCTAGGCTGTGAAGGATTGCATTCGAAATTGTGATTCTGCCCTGATGTAGGTGGTACACTTGCATCCATCAAATTGCCTGGATCACAAGCCTGAGTGGGTTATCTATAATGAATATGTTCTTACAAGTCGGAATTTTATACGTACTGTGACAGATATACGCGGTGAATGGTAAGATTTTATTGTTGTAATCTGTAATATTCAAATGGTTGTCCTAGCAAATGACTGTTGTAACTTGTAAGCCGAGTGATACTAAGTTTTGTTAATGATTGAAATATATTAACTCTATGATGATTTGTTATCTCACAGGTTAGTAGATATAGCTCCACATTACTATGATTTGTCTAATTTTCCACAATGTGAGGCGAAGCGTGTTCTTGAAAAGCTGTACAAGAAAAGAGAGAAGGAAAAGGATGAATCCCGGAATCGGAAATGAAGGAAGCCTTACCCTCAGCTTCTCTGCCATTGGATTGGAATTTGATGTTTCATCTCCTGCAGGTTGACATCATAATATCATAATTGGGAATGTTCACTAATACTACCTCCTTATTACCTTCAAAGGACATGCTGATTGTCAGAAATTTTAATGAAAGAGTTGGCAGAGTTCCTTGTACCATTAGAATAGTAACATGTTTTATGTTCCTAAATCTTGTTCTGTTGTACCTTACGGATTTATTTATTGGCTTCAAATTTGTTTTTGGGATGTTAGTGTCGTCAAAGGTAAAATGCCCGCATCATTGCATTAGTCGCCTTGGTATATTTAGCAACATTGATAATTAAGCATCCGGAGTTATAAGATTTTGATTTAAGTTAATGTCAATTGGTAATGCTTTATCTGAATAATCTTTACTTATTAAAAAATAGCGTATAATTTTTAGTGTTGGTCATTTTTTTTTATATTGAAGTCTTTATCTGCCATATATTTTTATTGGAGAGCTCTGTATATAATGTTATCCATTTATGATTTTTCTCTTACAAGTTGTCACTTGTTTTGTCACTCCATTAACTTATCAAAATAATCAACATAGTTTTTTATTAGTATTAATGTCTATAAATCCTCTTTCAATATGCCTATTTTATTTTAAATATAAAATGCTGAATAATTTAAAAAATAAAAGATTGAAGCAAATAATAGAAAAAAAGTAAAAAAGTACAAATATTTTGTAAAATTGTAAATGATGGAAAATATAACAAAAGCTTCTTTTAACATTAATTGGTTATGAAATTTCTTTTTTCACCTCGATAGGTTTTTTCAAACTCCGCGAAAAATAAAAAATGTCTCTAATTTTCGGAGATAAATTTTTGGTAGCATTGTTTCATAAAATAAGCGTAAATGGTTGAACTTTAATCGCTATGTCAAAATTTGATTTGGAAATGCATTCCTGTATGTGTTTTTAGAGTTTGCCCGTAGATGTATTTTCAGATTAATTTTTCTTTTAATCTTCAAATCCATTAACTTTTCTTTTAATCTTCAAATCCATTAGCTCTTTCGAAGATGCATACACCCTCCTCCCTCTTCTCCTTTATTTTACATTTAACTTTTAAGATAACCCTTTTTGAGTTCGTGAGTAACATTCTTCTAGTCAAATTTTCAAGGAACAACAATATCTCTACTTTAACATTTTCAATTCCAACTCACTCTGCTTACTATATACAACGTTTTTCATTCCCATCAATATTTTTTTTGAGTAAAATTCTCAACTTTATTAATTTTTTTTATTAATGCATTAGGTAAAATAATTAATTTTAAATGCATTAGGTAGTAGTCACATTCGAAATATGTAATTGTTAGAGACATGCACTATGATTTGGTTTTATTTTGAATTGTTAGAGAAAGACTGGTATCCGTTTCTCCAATTGTTGAAACACGAACTTTTTTCGAGATGCATCTCTGAATTGTATCCTTGCTGGTTTTCGGAGATGAATATCCGAAAATATTCTGGAGGCAAACTGATGTCTTTCTCTCGTATTTTTTTAGGAAAAATGGCCGCAAACAACAACGACATAATGAGACTCGACCATAAAACCCAGTATGCATCTGTTCGATGTGATAGGGCTAGACTTCAGAATGAGAAGCCTAGAGTTAGGTGGAGAATCGTCCCTAGGCCTCTTGACGGGGAAACATCAACTTCTAGGACCTGCCTCGCACAGGGGTCCTCATCCCAGGGGTATGTCTCCGTTGCTCACGTAGACCGAAAGAAAGCTCCTATTGCACACCCCTCTACTTGTAGACCCTTATCTAGGAGGGCCGTCTAACACCTCCTTACTGATATACAATAGAGATCATGTTGTTGGGCATGTTTGGACCAGAGACGTAAATTTGTTAACAATTATTATTTATATGTTTTAAACAAATTCCCTACGACTGATATTTTTTAACAGGAGCACGACTGTTTGAAGCCTGTTAACCACAAAAGAAAGATTTTGAAGCTTTACCAGTCTAAGGATCATTGGTTCCAAAGTGTTATCTGATACTTCGGTCTTACTGTTCTATGTTCTTCCGAGTACAAGACCATTAGCCATGGCATGTAGGGTTTTTTCCTAAGAGATGGCAAAAGAAAATATCATCTTTCCACTTTTCCATTGGCATGATGTTGCTTGCCTTCTACACCTTCCCATCAGGGGGAATTTACTTGATCATTCTAGGATCAAACGTGATGAAGCCTAAGAGATGATTGCCATTTATTTGGGAGCTAACCTAATGGATGCCCTGATGCAGTCTGAGAGCAACAAAGGTGCTCACACCAAATTTTCATACCTGCAAAAGCTATATGAAGACAACTTGAAGTTAGCCAATGATGCCGACGAAGATTATTTACATGTTACCTACCACTGAGAGTGTGCTTTGATGTGTTTCCTCCTATTCTTGGTTGACATGTAATACCCCGTAATTAATAAAATGCTCTAAATAATATTAGTTGAGATCAACTGGGTTTCGATATGCTGTGAGAGTTATCTGTTGAGATAATTGGAGTAACTAATGAACTCAGAGTTGATTTAATTAATATTATTTGACTCCGAAGTTTTATTAATTGGTGCATTAAAGACATTTTGGATACCCTTAATTTGGACTGTTAACAAAGTTAGTCTTACTAACTCTATTGGGATATTTTTACATATCATTTTCTTTTATTTTTCTTATCCTTCCAAATTGTGGGTTAAGTAGTAGAAAGAAGGAAATGAAATAGAAAGAAAAGATAGTAAGAGAAAGGAAAAGAAGAATAAAGAGAAGGAAGAGAAAGAAGGGAGAAGAGAGGGAGAAAACCCTAGAGGAAGAGGAAACTTTATCTTCATCATCAAATCATCTCATCTTCATCATAAACAACTTTATCATCATCGTCTAGAGGTGGATTCTAGATATAAACCCGAGGTTAGGATTTTGGAGAGAATGGTAAAGGGTTTTTTGTATGTGTGAATCCAAATATTATGTGAATCTTGAGAATATATGGTAAATCATGTTTGGCGCTATTCTAATGTTATGTTTGTGTTTATTTTGACATATATGATCCTTATGAGGAGTGGGGTTTAAAACCCCTTTGGATTGAACAACTTATGGAAGTGAGAAGTTCTGAATTGCAGGGTTCACACTGCAAGCTCTAGCGAACTACAGGCGAACATGACAGTCTGCCATGCTCGCACTGCGAGGTGAAAGCGAGCTGAAGGCGAACGTTCGCCCAGAGCTCGCACAACGAGCAATGAAGGCTTTTACTACTGCCATTATTTTTCCTGCCTCACCCAGAGTTCACATAGTGAACTCAAGGCGAAGGGTCTCGCCTGCCCTTCGCACTGCGAACCTGGTAGTGTTTTTCACATTTTATTTTGATGCTTGCTTGGTTGTTCACATGCATGTGTATGGTTACTATATATTGTTTACATTAATTATGATGAGTAATATGCATGTGTATTTGTGGATTGACTAAAATGATGATGATATGATTAAAAAGAATTAAGAAAATTGGGAAAAACTTATCACAATCCAATGGAATGACCTAGGGATGTAACTAGGAGTTGATAGACAACTTAGGTGACAATGCTTGTGCATTTAATGCCTAGGTGTGCATCCTTGACAAATAGTTGTCTAGTGGAAAGTTGAGACACTATATGGAACATGAGTTAGTTTTGTGTTACTTTGAGAATAAGGCGTATGTGGCCTTGTGGTTGTCGAATACGATCACATTTGTGTGAGATCACTTAGTCGGAACCAATCCCTTGAGTTATGCCATTCCAAGAGTGGAGGATTATTTAGAGAGCTCATCCAGAATGTATGCACTAGTACCTTGACACGTTTGATTCCCATTGTACAAATGGAGCCTACGGATAAAGAGACTTGTGATGGGTACATCCCATGAGAAATGAAGATTCAATAGACTACGTTTCCCTTTGATCCAAATCCATTTTAGTATGTCAAGATTTGCAAGGATCCATGACCCTCGCTGGAATCTTAGACGTAGGAGAGGACATGAAAAAGGGATGCCTTGGTCAAGTTTCCGATTAGTGATAGTTTGAGTTGTTGAACTCAAGCAACATGTTTCAACCAAGGTTAACTGCAACTTTGATTTTTTGATCAAGACATGATCTCAAACCTTGGGACATGATTCAAGACATTCAAATACACCTATGGAGTCCATTTAAGATGTTCAAATAGCTCAAGAGGTTGTTGTTGTTAAAGATCAAGAGGTGAATATACATCTGATAAAAAGTCAACTATTCCTCTAATTCAAAGTTTGACTTTTGAGAATTTTGGTCAACCATGCCTACCTCAAGTCAAGAATGCTGATAAAATATGGTTTGGTTCATGATCAATCAATGAAAATCAAGAAATTGGAGATTACTTGCAAAAAGGGCAACATTCAGAGGGTTAATTTTTTCTAAGTTAGGAAGAAAAACCTAATTTGGTACCAACTTGTCAAGGGAATAACTCACAATCTAGATATCCATTTTCCTTGATCCAAAGATCAATTTGAAGAGCATCTCCCATACTACAACTTTGTCAATTTGAGTGAATTTCCAAAAAGTGCACGAATTTCAAGTTATGAGGGCTCAAAGTTATGAAAAACAAGATTTTGAAAGTTTATACTTAAAATTTTTCTAAGTACGAAATTTTACCTTGGAGGATGAGTTTTCAAAGCTTTCTTTCTCATGGTTCTAGGCTTCAAATCAATTTTCTTGCAACATGAAAGTTGTTAGGAATATTCCAAGCTCTCTTTTGATGCAAAGAACTTAACCATTGGGTGCTTAGAGCTCAAGTTATGGTACTACAAAGTTAGGGTCATGAAGTTGTCAAGATGGGCAAGTCACTAGACAGAATTTTGGAGCCAACTTCAAGGTCAATTTTCATGAACTTCCAAGCTTCAAATCAATTTTCTTTCAACATAAGAGTTGTTCTTCATCATTCAAGCTTTCCAAAGAGTGCAAGTAATCATTATTTCCATGCTT